GCCCGGACCACAGAACTTGGCCAGCGGAGCAGCTTAGCCACGATCTGGCACCGCTGGGCCCCCGATGTCATAAAGCATCCATAAACGAATTAAGCTACTCTTTCAGCAATTCTCGTTGCTGTTGTTTTTTGTGCTGTGGGTTCAAGAAGAAGCGTACAGTAAAAAAAAAAACAAGTAAACCCCCCCCCCCCCCCCCCCCAAAAAAAAACAAAAATATGTGCATAACGTTAATGTAGGCCAAAATAAGAGAAATGACCTTAACCATGTCGAAAGATTTGTACCATGCTAAAAAAACAAAACACAAACTTAAAAACAGGAAAGAGCTGTTAGCTGCGGCACGCCGAATATTTAATACCCTTGCAGACATATGGCCAAAGGAGACACGGCATGGCTCGTAAATGACAAGTTTGGTCAAGACAGCTGGAAAAACAAACTATTTGAGAACAAATGAGAATATTATATTTCGACCTTTACTGTTCGAGCTATATGATATAGAAGTCCGATCGGGCCAACTTGGACATACATATATACTGTCTGCAACAACAATACGAACATATGTAAAGGGAAATATTGATAGCCTTAAGATTGAAAGACTTTGCTGTATACCCTAATCAATGATATATGTATATACGAGAGATCGAATATGTGCATAACACTCTGCTAGGGTATAGCAAAACACAACAACGACGCCAACGTCTCTGCCACAGCCTCTGTCGCTGCCGCTGCCGCTGCCTCTGCAGCTGCGCTGCGCCTGCGCAATTGCTAAAACTGAGAGACGCGAAGGCTGAGGCAGAGCCAAAGGCAGTGGCTGGCTGCTTTCTTCGACGAGTTCTTTGCGACCATTATACCCTGTGACAAGCTGTACGTCGGGTATGCTTAGCACACAACTAACAAATGGCAATATTTTTGTTTGTGTGTGCTACCTGTTTAGTAAATAATTAGACGGAAACTTTCTTACAATATGACTAAAGATACATCTTTAGTATATCAGATGTATATATGTATGTACATCTATATAATTATATCTTATACTTATACCCTTATATATCTTATATATGTATATATATATATATATATATATAAAGGTAAAGGTAAAGTAGTTCCCCTGTTCGCTACACTTCGATAAATATTTCACAAATCCAAATAGTTTTGTAGGGTATTTTTTAGTCGGACTCCCACATTCGGTTTTTCTTCTTTTTGACTTGCCAAAGAATCGTTTGCTGCCCATTTCATGTTATTGTTGTGTATTTATGTATGCATGTATATACATATATGTATACAGAATCTGTTGGGTCTGCGTTTGGGATGCTGCGTATGCTAAAATCTGGATTTGGACTCAGAGTTAGCCGTATGTGTGCGTGCCTGACCCATTTAAATGTTAAAAAGATTCTCTTGGCGCTGAATTTCATGCGTGTCCAAGTCGATGAAGGCAAATCCAATGGAGGCGACATTAATTGGTATTCGCTGCGAGAAGCTAGCTCTTCAAATCTGATCTTCACCAAAAGGAAGGATAATATGGCTAAAAGCTGAAATCCTGCTTGGAATTATACGACAAAAGACACATAATTAATATTTAAAGGGTCTTATAAAGAAGCTAACTTTAGTTACTTCCAGATTTCAGACAAAATGATTTAGATACTTAACCAAATGCTTTCAATGGGAAATATGCCTGATGAAATCATTTAGTTAACATCACAGAAACTTCTTAATCGATATTTATGAGTTTATTGCCGCTATTGACACAACTTGTAATACCTTGAACTAATAGTTAGAGCAGCGCACAGCATTTACATGCTTATAAACTGATCGATGAAGATCATTAAACTCCGACCTGCTGGCAATTAGCATAGCCATGTGAAACAACAAATTAACGCATAATAAAACTGCTTTGACTTGGAAAAATCGGAAATCGTTATCAACGCATTAGTATTCACATAGATTGTAATAAATTCTGCAAAGTCGCGTTGAAAAGTGGCAATAAATGACAACGTTATCAAGAGTGCTCAAGTGCAAGATACCCTGTATTTAATACTCAGGAATGCTCAAGTGGTAGATACCCTGTAATACAACATAATCAAGAGTGCTCAAGTGCAAGATACCCTGTATTTAATACTTAGGACAACGTATTCAGGAATGCTCGAGTGGTAGATACCCTGTAATACAACATAATCAAGAGTGCTCAAGTGGAAGATACCCTGTATCCAATACTTGTACCTATAAAAGTATAAAAGTATTAAATCTTTGGTTCGCCGAAGAAAAAACATTCAAGCATAACTTCTTTGTTATATATAGCTATGATTATTAAAGGGTATTTAAAATGTAATTATTATTTAATGTAACCTTAACCTGTTAGCTATCAGCATTGGTTAATAAATAAGAAACATGTATATGGCTATATATAGATAACTACAATACTATAACAGGCTTATAATTGGAAAAAATCCATCTATATCTATATGAGTATCTAGTCTCCAAACAATACTAACGCTTAACTGCACGCAATCTTTAACCAGATACTAAACTAACAAAAAAAATAATTAAATAATTATATATATATATACATATATATTTAATGCATTTGTACATATAGAGAGCGGCCATTCATTTTGCTAGTCTTTGCGGTTAACAATAAAGTGCATCATTTTAGTTTTATTTTGCGATGACCTTGAATATACTCGCTGCTAGATACTAGATAATAGCTATAATGCATACATATGTACACTGCTATATGCGATATATGTACATATGTATATACAATTAGACTAATCGCTAACAAAAGTCGAAGAATCACAAATGTGAAAACGATTCATAATTTTATAAGCGTTGTTATAATAAAAATCCTAATAAATATGCATGAAAAATGTTTCGCTAGGCTGATACCCAAACGTGAAATGTTTGTTTTTTTTTATTTATTATTTTTAGTACCCTGAACCCATTAAAAATGTGTGAAAAGGGTATAATGTGCTTGTGCAAATGTATGTAACAGGCAGAAGAAAGCATTTCCGTCCATATGTATGAACACAAGGATCTCAGAACCTGTAAGAGCTAGAGAGAAATTTGGAATGTAGGTCCTCTTACTGCCCGGACAGTACGGGTTTTTTTTCCCGTTAATCGATAACTTGTCCCATTTCCAAGCAATCGATAAGAATCGATATCGAAATGCTGTTTTTTAAGCAAATCTCGTAAATTATAAAAGCTAGAGTCACCAAATTTGACAAATAGCTTCTTGAAAAGTATATATATCAAATATCTTTCATTCTATAACTATTTTTTATTTACTAGAAATAAATTGTTGGTGCGGCTGTCGAGTAGAGGCCATTTTTCACAAGTTCGATTTCTAGTGAGGGAAACATATTTTTTATTTTGCACGAGATGCATTTGGTTTTGTTAGAAGAGGGTTCAGGGTATCCCCTAGTCGGGAACTCCCGACTAGAGCCCCTTACTTGTTTTGGTTCGTAAATGTTCCGAACAATAAAACTTTCACCTACAAATCAGACTCTAAATGAATTCGTATGAAAGCACCAAAGAAAGTTTAGAAGTTTTTAATTATCGGCAGACAAAATAAAGAAATAAGAGAGGCGAAGAATAAGAAGAAGACGTTGTAGAAGATACAGAAGAAGAAGAAGAAGAAGGAAAAAACAGCAGCTATTCTGAGCTGAACGGCCCACTCATTTGGTTTATGGCTTATTAAACTTTTTTTTTATGGTTTTTAATCAAAAGACAAGCTATTAAAAATTGTATGCCCATCAAAAGCTGACAGGCTATACGAACTGGCAGCCAGGCGGGCCATAAGCCATGTGTGTGTGTGTGTGTGTGTGTGTGTGTGCGTGTGTGTGTGTGTGCGTGTGTGCCTATTGCCAGACATCGGACTTTATGGTTTAGTGTGGCTTATCAGCGGGCTTAATTGGCCATTCAAATCGCAAATATCCAGCAATACCTCAAGCCAGGTTCATCAAACCGACCGATTGGCCGTTCTATATGCATGCTTAAGTCTTAAGGCGACTCGACAGACATCGTGACGTTTTAATGACCATTGTCACACACTGGCATAATCGCATAATGCCGCAGATCCTGAATGATCAGATGGCGAATATTGTAAATCATATGAAAAAGAAAGTGAACATACAGCCAGCCAATAAGCAAATAGCGGAGCGAAAAGAAATGCTTAATTAATGAAAGTGAAAGCGGCTAGGAAACAATGGCAAGGAATATGTGTAATGAGGATAGTGAAAGAAACATAAATGTGAACAAGAAAATAATAAGCAAAGCTATATACAAAATTAAAGAAGTTGAAAGGACTTAAAGCGGGCAGAGCTTAAAGCTAAATGTTGCAAATTGGCATAAGTTTTATTTCTTAAATGTGCAGCTAGAACAGAAACAAGAAAGAGTGCTCTAGTCGGGTGTGCTCGACTAGGGGATACTCTGAAATTTCTTCTTCACTCGGCTATTGATGCTGATCAGGAGTATATACACTTTATGGAGATGCTTCCTTCTGCCTGTTACATACCGTGGCACGAAAACATTATACCCTTTTAAGCCATTTGCAATCAGCTCGGGTTATAAAAATACCCTTCTAGAGAAAACATACATGTATTATTTTTATTTAATACAATAGTTGACCCACAGTCCGGCATAACATATGTGTAAGGGGTCAAGCTGTTAGTCTAAGCTTAATCAAAGTCTTTTAATTAACTTAAAATATGCTATGATTTGCATATGGCAAAAATGAGTTGATAAATCTTTGGACCATATACGTTTAACCTCAAGTTATCGACCCAATTCGAAAGCTAATAGATGGATCGGTTGCGAATATGCTTACTCATCCAGCATAATTATAAATGCGTTTGAAGTCGTAAAGTGCCTTTGTGGCCGAAAATATCTGACAGGGGCATGAACTTTAACATTCGATATATTTAAGTCTTAACTTCAATGTTTTATATAAGTAGTCTTGCACAGAGAGAGAGAGAGCGAACTTAACTAATTTATGAACTTTCTTGCAGTACTTTCCACACGTATGAAACAGTTGGCCATTCTGCTAAACGATTTCAACTTCGAGTGCATTGGCACCGCACAGACCGACGACGAGAACGTCATCTGTGAGAGCTTAAAGCGCTTCGGTGCGATCATTGGCACCATCGAGGATGAACGCGAGAAGATGGTGGGTTGGCATATTGAATATATATATATATATATTGGGATTCGTTAAACTATTTTTCAATTTTCCCATTTCAGTTAACTCTGGCGGACAAGCATATCATTGAATCGCTGGAGGACTTTCGCAAGAAACAAATCGGCGGTGTCAAGGAGAACAAAAAGAAATTTGACAAGAAGACTGAGAAGTTCTGTCAGTCGCAGGAGCGCTTCCTAAATATGTCAACCAAAAAGCCAGAGAACACGATACAAGAGGTGAGTGCACAGTAAAGTAAAGTAAAGTACAGCCCCAGGTCTTGAATTTCCCAATTTCATTCATTCATTCACACAACTGCCAGGCAGACAAATGGAATCAAATTGCGCTCAACTTTTCGTTTTTGCCCAAATTGCAACTTGAAGTTGTGCCAAAAATCTAGCCCAACCCCAACCCCAGCCCCAACCAACTGCCATGCTCTGCACTTGATCCTAGCGTGTCCCTCGGCTTGCGCTTGCCAGTCACCCCCAGGACCTACCCCAAGGCCCCAACAGTTGTTTTTCGTCTGGTCGCATTTCCACTACTTGCACAATGCATATAGAAGAGTTTTACTAGAAAAGAAGCAAAAAAAAAAACGTGGCAAAGTTCCATGACCTACGTCAAATTGCATCAATATAATGTACAGTAGATACTCGAAACAAATAACATAAAAAGAAAAACTAATCAAACTCGCTGTATTTCAAATTCAGAGTCCGCAATTATGTGAAAAAAAATGTAGATACATAGTTTTAGAAGTCTATAAAAGTTCCTGTGCTTAATAATGTTTCTCTGATTACTACGATATTTCGGACTCCGAATAAAGTCAAACAAAATGGTAAACACAAATATTCCTTGAGGTATTCGGGCTTAGCTCCGTTCCGAATTCCGACTCCGTAAGAAATGGTAGATAGATAACTTATATCTAATGATTTTGATTCCCACTGGAATATAAACTAGCTTTTATTAACTTTCGTATTGGATTCCGAATTGGAATTCGGAGAGGTCTCTAATGAAATGCTGGGAGAATCGATAGAGTACTAAATTCATGCGCTTTTTAAATCAATATTAACCTAACAGCTGCCCACAAATATGAGCTTGAATCTCGCTTTTGCACTTGGCGAATTCAATTTGGCCAGCCAACAGCCTGTGCTCCCTTAGGCAATCTTCACTGTACATAGTCTACAAATTCGTGTACACATTGTGGCATGCAATCGTTGCATTTGCTGCTATTTACTCTGCCCTCTAGCGGGCTACGCTGGCTGGGTGGATTGGACTTTTGCGGTTGGTTTGGCTGCCAACTTTAACTGGCACAGCACATAATGTGTCCCTGTGTGTGTGCGTGTGTGTGTGTGTGTGTGGGCGTTTGGTTGCTACAGCAGCTACATGCACAATAATAATGTTGAAAAAAAAACAAAAATGGGTTTGCTTTTTGGCCACAAGTGGCCCACGTCCGCATCCCTGACCTGCCCCTGATCCTGGCTGAAATAACTATTACATATTGCCCCGGCCAGACATGCGCGCACCGAGCCGCCATTTTGTGGCCAGCTCGTTTCCGGTCATGCATTTTAAAGTATGTACACTCTAAAAAATACACGAGTGCTAAAAAAACATCTTTTAAAATAATAAAAACTGCTTGCAAAACTTTTAAATGGAAAAATCTTGTTATAAAGCAAAAGTTAGATATTCCAACTAGATAAACAATCACAGAGGCACACTTAATTATATAAATTAGATAGATAATTATATAAATGTGAACGAGGACCTGCCGAAAAAGTCATTGACCAATCGAATGTCTGTTGACCCAAGAACAGCTTCTTCTTATTTTGTTGAGGCCTGAGGGGTCAATAAACTGCAACGTGCTGTGTGGTCGGTCGCCAATCCAATTTGTGGATCATCTGGTCCACTCGTGCAATGCTTTTGAACTTTTCAAAGTAAACACAGTTAAATTTGTGCTCCTCTCGAAATGCGGCCAATGTAAACAGGCTGCGCCTGGCCTCTGGTGTGCTCTGCGTAAACTAATGATGCATTCATCCCCAACCTAGCCAATTCCCAATTGATGCCAGAATGCCACATGCAGCGACGGCATTGACGCCGGGATGAGCTGCCATCGGCAGCGTTTAATTGCATATTAATGTAATTGCTCTGCAATTGGCACGCGTTCTCGGAAAGACTAGCCAGATGCAAACGGACGGAACTGGGTCGATTATCCGTGCAGCATATTCATTCATGAAATGTTGCTAAATATATGGATGTGGGTACTTGTTAATAGCGAATCATTCGTTCGAAATTACTTATAAACACAAATATACTTCTTTAATTAAGTTGGCCATTTTGGCTGTGCATATAACGTGACCATGGAGGACACTAAACTATCGAATGTAATTGCTCACGTTGCTTAAGAGCTGCATATGCCCATTGACGAGGGGTAAAAACGGGTATAATGGTTTTGTGCCAAGGTATGTAACAGGCAGAAAGAAGCGTCTCCAATCCCATAAAGTATATACATATATTCCTGATCAGCATCAATAGCCGAGTCGATCTAGCCAAGTCCGTCTGTCTGTCCGTCCGAACCTATGCTAGAGTCTTCAAATGAAGCTCCTCCTGTTGCCCGGGCAGTACGAGTTTGTTTTCGATAATCAATCATTTGCCCCGCTACCAAGCAATCGATAAAAATCGATATCGGAAGCCTGTTTTTTGTTTTGCGTCACCAAATTGGACGTGAAATTTTTTAGAATAGTATCTACAGATCAAGTATCTTTCATTTTACAGCTACTACAGTTCCTTCCCTATTCCTTTCCCATTGGCCTTAGCTGACTAACCATTTAAAGTGACCATGGAGGACTATTTGTACTCTAGCATTAATAACTAGCTATCGTAGTTAATCAGCTGCTTTCTTAACACTTTTAATTGTTATTTCACTTACACACCTTACTTTTGCTCACATGTCCTCCATGGTCACTTTTCTTATAGCTTAAGTAGGAGGAGGCTGTCAAAGCTTCCCGAATCATGATATTAGGCAAATTAAGTGACCATGGCGGACATGAGCTAACTAAATAAATGTCGTGCTCTCTGTGCCCATGAGCTCCTCTCATTGCACTCCGTTCCAGAGTGTGTATTATAGTATGTACTTAAGTAATACATGATCCCTTTTGGACAACCCTTTAATTTAGTTGAAATTTAATGCAAATCAATCAATTAATTGACTGACCGACCGATTCGAGCTGCCCCCACCAGCTGGTCGTTGGGCATGATTAGCCCCAACTGCCTGGAAGCGCTTGAAAAAAAAAAAAAAATCAAGCCGGCAACTGAAATCAATCAAATGTCTTTCCGGCTGCCCAATTGCCGGCATTTGTTCCGAACTTTAACTGTGCTTGCAGTTGGCAATGGAGTTGGCGCTGGACATGGAGAGGGGAGTTAGGGTGACGGGAGGGATTTAGGGGGTTTCTAGCTGTAGCTCTGTGTGTTGCAATGTGCGGCGGCTGTTATATTGATTTTCAATGCTTGGCATGCGTGTCACGTAGTCCGCTCTCGAGCGGCCTCCACTAAGCTGGCCGGCTCCGTCTGACATGTACCTGTTTCCATGTCCTGGCAACCCCTGCCCACCCCCTTGCACACCCTTGTGACGGTTTCCCGGTTTCCATGCCGGCCGCTTGGCCGTCGGACCATTCTGCATAAGTACCACAATTTGTTATCAGTCACGCTTCGTTGTCATTGTTGCAACACCTTACACCATCCCCGCCCACACACACACACACACACACACACACACATACCCCTCATCCGCAATCTCTACCCGCCAAAGGCATCACCCTCTCTCTCTCTCTCTCTCTCTCTCTCTGTGTGCCACTCATTATTTTCCTCTTAAGCTGTGATACTTTCTGCTTTCCTTCCATTATTTTTGTTTTTCCGCTTAAACATTTTTACGCTCCAAAGTTTGCTAATGCGCTTTTCCAGCGTCTCCCAGAAGGGTTTAGAATGTAAAGCCTATTATGGGCTACTGACTGAGCCCAGCTACAGCTACAAGGGCTTAGAAAGTTATGCGCTTTGCGCTTTGGGCTTTTGGCCTTAAACATTTCTTCTCTTCTGGCTATAGAATTGTGGAAACTTTTTGCTTTCCAAATTGTTTAATATGTTGTTTTTTAGAGAGAGAAACAACGGTTTAAACACTGTAAAATTGAAAAACAACAGTTCTCTATTAAATATATAATAACAAATATATTTATAATATAGAAATTTCTTTTGTCAGGCTAAGATTTGTAGTCCAACATTTTAGTACAAGCATTAAGAAACTTAACTAGACTTTAGTCAAACAAATATTTTACCTCATTCGAGCTCGTAAAAAAACAATCTTTTCTCCTCTGGAATGCAATCCTAAAACATTATATTGATCAAACCATATTAAAAACATTTTTAGTGGAATAAATTGAACGAAAAGAAACAAAAACTGAATGGAGTTTTCGGTACTTAAAGCCTAGCTAGAACATTTATTAGCTTTAGAGTCGTGCACTTTTCTCTGCGGCCATCCTGTTTTTATTTCCAAGTTTGCCGAATACAATCTATTAAAGAAAATTGGAAAAACACCTATTGTTTTTCTTTTATTCTATTTCAAGTTTTTGGCAGTGAAAACTCCTCTAACGAACACTCCTAGAGTCGGACATCCCACTTGTTGGCACTGATTCCCTCAAGCAAATGTGAATCAGACCAAATCCATCCCTTCTCTATTACGCGTACACTCCTCTCGAGTGTACAAGAACTTCACGACGGTCGAGGCTTCACTCGACTTATAGTATGGCCAAATCAATTTCTCATAATTGTTGCCATCAAATTCGGCTCCAGCATCAGCTTTAAGCTAAACCTAAACTTATCTTTAGAGAATTGCATTCATTTCCCTGATAGATTTCGGGCAAATGCTTTGTTCAGCTTTTCATCTGGACTGACTTTAAGTAACTGTACTTTATGTGTTTCTTTGACAACCCCCAGGTTTTTCCGACATCCGCCTGCCAACCGCCCGCCCGCTCGTTAAGGTAATGCGTCGTCTCGCAAAGAAGTGAATGAGATGTGAATGTGATTGTGAATGTGAATATTGTCTGTTGTCTGTTGTCTGTGCCTTATCAAATTTTACTCGTGCAGTTTTTCGTGGGCTGCCGGCTTTTGTTAGATTGTCAGCACAGAAGGGTGCGAAAATGCGTCTTGGGTTGCCCGGTTCTCAATGGGGGGTTGGGTTGGGTTGGGTCGATTATTG